TCTCTATTTAAATCAGTTTTTACTGTGATCAGTTATCTTCATATCGAGGATGGCTGTTTCTTAGCTTAAATCAACATTCTATGTGATCCGTTATCTATATCCGCTGGGAAGCGATTTCTCTATTTAAATCAGTTTTTACTGTGATCAGTTATCTTCATATCCAGGATGGCTGTTTCTTAGCTTAAATCAACATTCTATGTGATCCTTTATCTAAATCTGCTAGGTAATTATTTATCTATTTAAATCAGTTTTTACTGTGATCAGTTATCTTCATATCCAGGATGGCTGTTTCTTAGCTTAAATCAACTTCTATGTGATCCGTTTTCTATATCCGCTGGGTAGCGATTTCTCTATTTAAATCAGTTTTTGCTGCGATCAGTTATCTTCATATCCAGGATAGCTGTTTCTTAGTTTAAATCAACTTTCTATGTGATCCGTTTTCTATATCCGCTGGGTAGCGATTTCTCTATTTAAATCAGTTTTTGCTGCGATCAGTTATCTTCATATCCAGGATAGCCGTTTCTTAGTTTAAATCAGCTGTCTCTTTCATCCGTTATCTATATCTGCTAGGTAATTATTTCTCTATTTAAATCGGTTTTTACTGTGATCAGTTATCTTCATATCGAGGATGGCTGTTTCTTAGTTTAAATCAACTTTCTATGTGATCCTTTATCTATATTCGCTGGGTAGTGGTTTCTGTATAGATCAGCTATCACTTCTACTTATGTCCAGAGCAGCAGTTTCTGTGGGTACATTCAGCTTCACCTTGGTTTGATATTGGTTATGTGACAAGTTTTCCAAGAAAATTGTTCTGAAACAAGAATGAAAAACTAAATGACGAATTTTAAAGTTAGAAAAAAAACAGACATTTTAGGACACTCCTCGTTCTATACCCAAGTCGCGCGTGACTATTTCTGAAAAAATGGAAGACCGTTGTGCAATCTTTTTTAACACCAAAATTTGGTTGGTTACCATGGCAATTAATTTAAGTTTTAAACAAATGAATCTAACCAAACTGAATACAAGTTTGAGGTTTTTTTAAAGTACTTTTTATTTAAACAAAATTTAATATCTTATGAGGCACCTTTTTGGCTAGTTCTTTATAGCTAGCCTGCTTCTAAACTACAAAAAATAAATTTCTCAAAAATAATTTAAAGCATCCCAGAATTTTGCAGAGCTGGTTACCAAAATTTGTTTAAACACTTTGTTTGTTGTTAAGCATAAAGCTATACAATGGACTATCTGTGCTGTACCGAACAAAGGTATCAAAACCTGGTGTTTAGCGTTGTAAGCCTTCAGATTTACTGCTGAACCACTAGAGGTGCCTCCCAGTGGCATAGCGGTATGTCTGCGGACTTACAATGCTAAAATCCGGGTTTCGATACCCGTGGTGGGCAGAGCACAGATAGCCCATTGTGTAGCTTTGTGCTTAATTACAAACAAACCACTAGAGGTCTTTTTTTAAAACAAGTGAAAATGTTGAGCTAATTCTGTTTTTAATAGAAATAGAGGAAGAAAATAATCTGTAATTACGTTTATTACAGGAATTGTATAATGTAATTCAATATTTCTGCTTTTCTGATTAGTTTCCCGAATTCCTTGTGCTGTCCATCTTCTCCTCTTCATGTTTTTCTCTTTACTCTTTAGGCATGTTCCACTGAATATTATTTATTAGAGTAATAAGAAAGTTATTTTGTAGGGGTCGCCACTTAATCCATTTTCTGTGGGAATGCAGTTACACAAACGTTCCAATCTTCTTTCTACATTGATGGTTGTATTATTAAAATACTTGTATTCCTAATGTTTTTTCTCCGAAGATAAAGATACCTTCCAGTTTCTATATACTTCTTGAAAACATTATGTCATAGACATTGTATTGCCCTCTTGTCAAAGTTACTTAGAAATATTTAATTTAAATACATAAGAAAAGTCGTTTCCATAGGGAAAAATAATTGCATGAGGCGCTATGAGAAGAAAGAAAATGAATTCCAAAAAGGAAGAAAGAAATGGATATTATTGTTCTACTTTATACATTGTTGTATTCAAAACATTTTCAGGCTTAAAAATTGTTTGTGTTTTTGTTAATCTTCTAAGGAACCTTTAGTACGTCTTCTTACTAATGCCGATTTCGTAAAGTTACCTTAGAAACGAATTGTAGCTTAAGTTATTTTTTTTTAAATGGAAAACGTAACTTTTACATTGAACACGCAACATTGCGCCATTGGTGAGCACTTTTCTAAACATTAATTTCCTTTTGTAATACGATATTTCATTTTTGCTAAACATGTTGATAAAAGATGGAGGTAAAGATATATGGAATATTACTACATTTCCAAGAAATGATCATTATTAAATGTGCATGAACAATTAGTTCTCTGTAATGATGAGCCATTCAGTGGACTATCTGAGAGCTGTCTACCACATGGAATCGGGCCCCGAAATTTAGCGTTGTAAGTCTATAAACTTACCTCTGACCCACTAACGAACAAAATAGCTCATTAATGAAGACGATACTGTCTTAGAAACTGTACAGAAAAGGTTACTGCTAGGCATCAATACACCCCTACACTAAAACTCGTAATGCTAGGTTCCCT